AGGCTGAAAAGAATATTTTCACAAGAGAAAGATGTTGGCAGATCTACCATCAGACAGTGAGCACACAGGAGGCCAGGCTTTAAATATTGCACTAGATGAAGATCAGGCTCAAGTGTGTGCAGCCAGCTTATGTCTCCTCCTCAAAAACCTATAAGAGAGAGGACACAAGCAATCTGCACCTAAACAGGCTCAGACATCACATAGTTACGTCTAAAGCCTCCTCTGTCTGGTGAGCCTGACTTACTGTCGGATGATCCATCTGCTGCTGATACCAATATTTCTAGTGATGACCTCAGGTGGTCTTTCTTAACATGGCAGCTCCTTGCAAATCAAATCCCTCACAGGCCTCTCCTTGATCTTCATGTTGGCCATTTCCTCTGGGATTTTAAGCTTCACCTAGATAATCTAGTCTTAGTATCCTTTTGTCTAAATAATTCACTTCAACTTAGTCAGTAAATGACACTTTTAATGAAAAGTCTAATAATGGAAACTCATTCTCTTTTTCCTCTAGCCTGTCTGGTGTTTTGATAAGTGATGCAGCGGCTCAGACCTTGATCGACTTGCTGCCTCGGCTTCAATCACTCAGGTAAGCGCATCATTTGATATCAAGTGTTTAAAATAGTTTGTTCTTCTTCCATCAAAGTGTTAATGTGTCTATTGGAGTAAATGAATGCCTATGTTCTTCTTTGACTCCTACAGTTTGTCCCATTGTGTTTGGTCAGCAGCTGCAAGGCTGCAGCTTATTGAAGCACTGCAGGACTGCACTGCTTTAGAAGATCTTTGGTAAAACCTCAACTGATCAAACCTTTCAGTTTAAAGCTCAAAGGTCTGTGTTTAAGAGTTTTCCAACTCCTTTTTCTTTCCAAGTCTGGATGCAGCAATGCAGCTGAATGAAAACGGCTGTAGATGTTTGGCTCAAGCTCTGAGGATTATGGACTCTTTAAAGATTCTCAAGTTAGTAGCAGTTTCTTCTATTTGGGCTGTTTTTTTTTAACCAAAGACCAGCATTGCTGTGTGGCTAGATGGAAGTTTACACCTTTTCTTTTCACGTTTTCTGCTCATGCTTTGTTTTTGAATTTTAGTGGATTACCAAAAAAAAAATACATCAATGATACTAGATAA